TTTCTCTACTGACCTATTTTACTCTAGTCCTGGAATTTGTTCTGATCCTTACTTCGAAAAGGATCATGTATTTACAAGATAACATATTAACAATCACCATGCAGGCAGAAAAGGAAACCTTAAGCAGTAACAGTACTCATGTATAGACAAAATCCAAGAGAAGAAATGAAACATCCTTTACCTAAATTTTATGGAGCAATACATAGGCTACAGACATAAAACACTTCTCTAGTAAAAACAAACTAAATTAATGAGGTGAGCAAATAATAACATAGAATTATCTAACAACCTTCTGGCCTTTTTTATGTCTTCACACCAACAATGTTTACGTCATCAAATTAAAGAACTTAAATGATTTTTTTTGGGTGGGGGGGTGGGGGGGATGGGGATATTGTCAAGTTTTCTCATCAAATAACCCTTCCTGAAACTTGTAGCCTGTTTGTAATGAAAGTAGAAGAAAAGGCCTGAAAATCTTCATACCTTGTCATCAATGTCCGTGAAGTTGCGCACGTATTTAACTTCATAACCCAAATATTTCAGGTACCTGCTCTGAATCAAATTAAAAGGAATGGTCAATTTTTTAGTTTTAAAAGAACACCATATTTCTAAAGATATAAGTACAAACATCAATCCGTACATGAACTAGCATCTGCAAATAATAGCAGCAATAGGAGTATGGGCTAGAAAAGATAAAATGATGCAACTACTTCCACACACCTTTAGCCAATGATTTCGACAAAATTGAATCTCTCAAGGTTGATTTGGGAGGTCAATGAGTAATTGCGTAGAATACATATCTTTAACAAGCATTTGATTAGAATGTTCAGAACATAGATGTCGGGAACGTGGGATGCTATAGCGAATCACGACCTGGGGTTCCTAGATTCGCGGAGGAACACAACCTGATTCATCAACTCTAGCGACCCGATTTAGAATTCAGACCAATTAAAATTTGAAACAATAACTCTTTCTAAAAGAATAAACAGAAAACATGAGAAATTAAGCAGATAAAGTATGCATGCTTCAATTGCAGCATGATTCTCAAGATTCTTTTACCGTTACTGATATCAACTAGCATATTTCTTAAATTTGGCTCTTGCAAAAGAACCGAACCTAAAACGTACCCCACTCCCTAGTATACTATACAAGTCTACCCCCTCATACCCGATTCGTAATGAGTGCCTGAGTGGCGTACCCCGCTCCCGTTCCCGTCCCATTATCCGGAACGAACCGGGCTCCATGCGACTATGGCTCAAAAGTGAACATGCAAAATATCCTAGTCAGTTTCTTACTAAATGAAACACAACTTGCCTCGAAAAATTCCACAAGCAAGGAGGTTTAAGAAATCACAATCTTTTTCCCCCTCTTCTAACAGAGAGGGAAGACTCAAAAGGAATCATCTAAGCAATAAGTATGATCAGATAACAATACAGGACGCCAAGAATATAAGAGGATTAGATAAGTGGTTTAGTACGCAAATATATGACAATTAGGAAACCGTTTACCATCGAACAAGCTGTAACCCACTAAGAATCTAATGCCCAACGCTTCTAACAGCATAATTTGAATGCACAAAGAATGTGCCGCGAAATAAACACAGAGCAGAATCTCCGCAACAGCATGTTTGTTTCTATAGATACGAAGTGCGAAACTACTTGCTAGAATTTACAGCTGCACCTGGAAATTCAAGAAATGCCCAGTCTTTCATAATCTCCATCAAGCCAGAACCAATTCAACATATAAAAATCAAGTCTTTTTTCGAAATTTCTGATCAGTAAATAACCCAACTCAACATTGTAGGCGTTAAAAAATACTAATAGATATCCCAAACATAGAGAGGATCACTCAAAAAATCACAAGAATTGATCTCATACTGTTTTTGGAAAATCAAGACAGATATGAACTGTCTCGCCAGCGAGACAGTCTTTACTGTCTCGCAGCGAGACCAGTGTTTATTGTCCCGCCAGCGAGACAAGCGAGACAGTGTTTACTGTCTCGCCAGCGAGACATTGTTGAAATGGTTAAAAACCACCTTGATAACTGCCGTACACGTGTCCATTAACTGCCAAGGACGTGGAAAACATCGTGAGCGAGAATCACGTGGATAACTGTCAAAATAACGGAGTTTGAAACGTGGGAAGACAGTTACTGCAGAAACTACTGTGCAGTTGGGTTTTCCGAGACAGAGTTTACTGTCTCGGAACCCGAGACAGTAAACTCTGTCTCGGCCGCCGAGACAGCAAACACTGTCTCGGTAGTCAAGACAACAAATGCTGTCTTGCGAGCTCATTTTCCTCTAACTGTTCATAGGGGTAGCACTTTGGAGCAGACAGAGCAGAGTTCCTGAGCTTCTGGCAATTCCTTGAGATTCGAGCTTTGACTTGATTTCAAGAAGAACGACTATCTTACTTTGATAAGATATCGTTTCAAATTCTCACTTCGATAAACGAAGGAAGAATCATTAAACCCCTCACGATTCAATCAGAATCTATGATTTGGTGGTCCACGAGCCAAAGCGTTCCCGGCACAGGCAAAGATCCCACACAAGCAGCGATCCAAACAACGATCTTGCGTTTGTTTCTAAAAAATTGTAATTTTCATTTTTGTTGTGTAAAAGAAGTCTTATAAAAAGACTATTTCTTTTGAATTTGTTGTAATCGACTGAAGATATAATGAGTTCCACAACGAGAGTAACTTTTGACGCAAACTGGCGACCATAGTGGGAGCCAACGGTCTCGCTGCCGAGACCGTCATGTCGCAGTCAATCAAGATTCCAGTTGAATCCACGGTCGAATACAAGTTCGACCAAACCAAGTTTGAGGAATATCTCTCATCATCTTCTTCAAGATCTTCATTGTATCGCAAGTACAAGAGGATCTCACCATTGAAGAAGACTTACATGCCAAAGAAGGCACAAAATGAAGACTCTCGCCTGATTGTTGCTGATGATTCTACTCGCAACATCTCTGCTCATGATGACTCTTATCTAGTTAAAGAGTCATCGAATCAAAGCTCATTGGCACTGACGAAGAGGGCTCGTCGGAGACAACGTCAGCGCCGCGCTCGCCAAATAGCTAAGGCCTTGGAACAAACCGACGGGGTTCATTATCACGCGGACCTAGAGTCGAGGAGGCATCGAGTGGTTCAGTTGTCTCAACGACCAATAACTCATACCTCTGCTAAATTAACGACGGATGAATGGACTTTCGTCAAAAGGGCGCGCTCGACCCTCAAAGAACGTATACAAAAGCGTCGTGCAAACGCTGTTCATGCACGTGCTCTCTTACAACAAAGACGAGCAAGAAACAAGGAAATGGTGGCCAAAGAACCACCAAAACTCTGCAAAGTTTGGATTCCAAAGTCCAGAGTTATGCAAAATCAGCATTCGGAGTCCGTTAAAACTCCACACCCACAAGGGGGTAGTTCCAAACGTGTGACTCCTGAAATAACCTTGGATCGCTCAAAGGCAACAATAATTTATCCTGAGAATGCCAACAAGGTTTTACACCCCCAGAAGAAGACGTGTTCCCCAAAAGACATCGTTATGCCTGGGAGGTCATACCAACAGACGATAGGATTTTCCGGCAATCATACCGATGAATCATACTATCAAATTGTGGGTTTGAATAGATTTCGAAAGAGAATTGTTCAAAAAATGAACTCTCATTGTTCCTGTGTGCGACTCATTAGAGCGGTATTGTCGGAAGATGATTACTCCAAACGAGAAGCCATCCCGCAAAGAGTCTCAATGGTCCAGAGACTTTTCACCGAAATGTCAAAGCCCAAGTCGGGACATTTCTGCAATAAACTTGCTGTCCAAGAGGATGAACTCCCTGAAGTCACCATCAACATGGTTGATAAAAGAAAGTCTAAACGGCATTCAAATGACTCAGATCCTGACTTTTCCCCGAGAGGAAAAATCAATTCAAGAATTGCCAAACGGATGTCCCGACTCCAGTTAGGAGTCATCAGACATAGAGACTATAAGAGAATGCATGAAGGAATGTCATCAGAGGATGAGCTCTCGGATACTTGTTCTGCGATCGCTTCGGATAGAAGTCCTCATGATCACCTCTGATCAATTTGCTCAAATGCTTCAAGAAGCTCTAGCGAAGCAACGTGAAGAAATTAGAGCTGAGATGAAGATAGAGATGGGGTTAGCTATTCAACAAATGAGAGAATTGCTAACTCAACAATCTCAACCTCCTGAGTCCAGTCAGCGAGCTGAATCCAGCCGCCACACTCAGAATGTTGTAGATGACAGTGATCCAGAAGTGGATAAAGTCATTATGGCTGATACACCTCCCAATGACAATAACACTGGGGGTGTTCAACAGATCCTCCTAATAACAATATTAGGGGTGATTCAATTGCACCGCTTAATAACGCTGGGGGTGGCCCAACTATTTCTGCTCCACATCACTCAGAAAGAGATGAAAATGAGGGCAAGAAAATGAAAGAGCTTGAAAACAAAATCAACGCTTTGATGACGGCTCAGGAAGTAAAGAAGACGGGTATTCCATGTCCATATCCAAGAGAATGGGATTCAATACCATACCCGCCAAAATTCAATCTGATTAACTTCACACCATTTGATGGGAAGAGCTCGCCTATTCAGCACTTGATTTATTTCAAGTCTCATTTGGGCATGATCGCTGAAACGAGGCTTTAATGGTCCGGTCATTCGTTAGCACCCTTCGTGGGCCCGCCTTCGATTGGTATCGACGTCACAAACCAGGGAGCATCAATTGCTGGGATGACATGAAAAGTTTGTTCCTCAGCAATTTCTTCGATGATGACACCGAAGTGTCAATCGGAACCCTTCTGGATGAGAAGCAAAAAGGCGGAGAGTCAGTCGATAATTTTGTCAAGCGCTTCCGTAACAAAGCAATGAATTGCAGAGATACTATTACAGAGGAGTTTATCCTGCAAACATGCCACAATAATCTCTCCATCGATGTTCTGAAAGCTCTGGGGGTCGTACCATCCAAGACTTGGAAAGATTTGAAAGTGCGCGGTGAACAAGCTGAACACTTTCTTAAAAGAAAGAAAGCTGAGAGAAACCAACCGACGATATCTGCAATTCCTGTGAACGCGACTCTCGATCCGAAGTTTCAAAATGAGTATTCTTTCGAAAACGATGAAGCTCCAGCCATATTGAAATACCTCCTCGCCAATGGCAAAATTGAGCTACCACCTATCAAAGATCAGGAGGAAGCTAAGAGGATTACGGATCCAAACTACTGTGCGTACCACAGAAGGGTTCTTCATCCCACTGAGATTTGCTTTGGACTCAAAAATAAAATTCAAGCCTTAATTGACTCCGGTGTCATAACGGCAGAACAAGCTAAGTAAAGACGGTTCTAACTCCATTGGATACACGAGTATAAACTGTTTTCCATCACTCCAAAGAGTATACGAGTATAAACTGCTTCTCGATCATCCAACTAAATACAATGGTAAACCCAGCTTCACAAAGGAAGCTGGGGGTGGATGATTTATGTAACGGGAAGTTCCTAGAGAATCTTATATTCTTAAGGATAACCCGAACATACGACTGAGGATGACGTACTCCTCGTTATACCCAGTTTTGCAAAGAAAGCTGGGGGTCGATAATTCATGTAACGGAAAGTTCCCGGAAGAATGTTAAATATAATATTCTTAAAGATAACCCGATTATTATGAACAAAATGATAAATACTAAACTCATATTATGATTTCCGAACACTCTTTTGCTGAGATGAGATTCGATCACCTCTTTAAATCAATCTTCCCTCACAAAACTCATATTTTGGTCAAACCTTTAAACAGTTAGGACCAAATCCAAACTCCCCTCTTGATTCATTCCATGAACGAGAGGTCCACAAATTAAACGATCAAAACTTTAAACAGTTAAGATCGTCTCAAATCTCTATTTTGGTCAAACCTTTAAACAGTTAGGACCAAAGCCAAAATCCCCTCTCGATTCCTTCCATAAACGAGAGACCCACAAATTGAACGATCAAACCTTCCTACAGTTAAGATCGTCTCAAAACACTCATTTGGTCAAACCTTTAAACAGTTAGGATCAAAGTCAAAATCCCTTCTCGATTCCTTCCATGAACGAGAGGTCCACTCAAATTGAACGATCAAACATTTAAACAGTTAGGATCGTCTCAAACCCCTATTTGTTAAAACCTTTAAACAGTAAGGACCAAAACCAAAATTCTCTCTCGAGTCCTTCCGTGAACGAGAGACCCACAAATTGAACGATCAAACCTTCCTACAGTTAGGATCGTCTCAAACCCCTATTTGGTCAAACCTTTAAACAGTAAGGACCAAAGCCAAAATCCCCTCTCGATTCGTTCCATGAACGAGAGGTCCACAAATTGAACGATCAAACCTTTAAACAGTTAGGATCATCTCAAAACTCCCACTTGGTCAAACTTTATTACTGTTAGGACCAAAGCCAAAATCCTCTCTCGATTCCTTCCATGAACGAGAGGTCCACAAATTGAGCGATCAAACCTTTAAACAGTTAGGATCGTACCAAACTCCCATTTGGTTAAACCTTACTACAGTTAGGACCACAACCAAAATCTTTTCTCGATTCATTCCATGAACGAGAGGTCCACTTTCAGTTGAATAATCAAACCATATGACAGTTAGGATTATTCAAACCCGTCCAGATTCTTTAAGTGGAGATCCTACTTTGAGTTTCCTTTGCACCTAGGAGATAGAATATAAAATTCTTCCTCTCCGATTTCGGGTTCATCTCTACCAACAAACAAGAGACCAGGAGATAGAATATAAAATTCTTCATCTCTGATTTTCGGGTTCATCTCTACCAACAAAAAAGAAACCAGGAGATAGAATATAAAATTCTTCCTCTTCATCATCGGGTTCACCTCTACCAACAAAAAAGAGACCAGAATACTCCAATAGATACACGAGTCTAAACTGTTTTCCTACACTCGACATGTAGTTTCTGGAGAATATTAATCTGAATATTCTTAAGGATAACCTGACGAACTCACAAAGGACATACAAGCATCAATCTGGAAATACCAGCATCGATTCAAGATCTCAACAACGGTCAAGCGATAAACGCAGTGCCGGAGAAGCATTAGCTATTCTACAAAGAACTGAATAGACTAATGGATGAAGAGATCAAGAGCTGGAGGCATTTTACAGATTCCTCTACACGATCTACTCAACCAAGCATTGAAGGGATCGTAAGTAAATCTATCTTATCCAAAGTATCCCAGACTCCTCTATAAAAGAATGAGTCTGGAATACTTTGGAGGGGGTATCTATAGGCGTTAAAAAATACTAATAGATATCCCAAACATAGAGAGGATCACTCAAAAAATCACAAGAATTGATCTCATACTGTTTTTGGAAAATCAAGACAGATATGAACTGTCTCGCCAGCGAGACAGTCTTTACTGTCTCGCAGCGAGACAGTGTTGAAATGGTCAAAAACCACCTTGATAACTGCCGTACACGTGTCCATTAACTGCCAAGGACGTGGAAAACATCGTGGACGAGAATCACGTGGATAACTGTCAAAATAACGGAGTTTGAAACGTGGAAAGACAGTTACTGCAGAAACTACTATGCAGTTGGGTTTTTCGAGACAGTGTTTACTGTCTCGGAACCCGAGACAGTAAACTCTGTCTCGGCCGCCGAGACAGCAAACACTGTCTCGCCAGCCGAGACAGCAAATGCTGTCTCGCGAGCATATTTCCTCTAACTGTTCCTGGAGGCTATAAATACCCCCTGAGATCGATTTTTGGAGGGGGGCTGATCATTCTTGAGCACTTTGGAGCAGACAGAGCAGAGTTCCTGAGCTTCTAGCAATTCCTTAAGATTCGAGCTTTGACTTGATTTCAAGAAGAACGACTATCTTACTTTGATAAGATATCGTTTCAAATTCTCACTTCGATAAACAAAGGAAGAATCACTAAACCCCTCACGATTCAATCAGAATCTGTGATTTGGTGGTCCATGAGCCAAAGCGTTTCCGGCACAGGCAAAGATCTCACGCAAGCAGCGATCCAAACAACGATCCTGCGTTTGTTTCTAAAAAGTTATAATTTTCATTTTTGTTGTGTAAAAGAAGTCTTATAAAAAGACTATTTCTTTTGAATTTGTTGTAATCGACTGAAGATATAATGAGTTCCACAACGAGAGCAACTTTTGACGCAAACAAACATATAAAATCCCAATTATGCTTCTTCTTCTTTTTTTTTTTTGTTTGAACTTACTAGCTCAAAAATAGAACAAAATAGATTCAGGATTAGGAAAGGGAGAGCGCACCTATGAAGAACATCGAACGCCACGTAGGCGCGAGCATGGCCGATGTGGCTGAGATCGTAGGGCGTAACCCCGCAAACGTACATCCCCACCCTCCCTTCCTCTTTCGACCTGAACGCCTCCTTCTCCTTCGTCATCGAGTTGAAGATCCTGAGCTCCGCCGCCGCCCTCTCCATCTCGAACCCTAACCCTAGGCCCAATTCGGTGAACGGAGGAGGAGAGCTTGGTGGTGGTGAGAACTAGAATTTGGCGTTTCAAAGAGAGGGAAATTGATCCGCTAGGGACCCGAGATTTCGGATTTAAGCCAGCTCGAAACAGAGTCGGCCCAAGTAGAGGACCGGATCGAACCAGGGCTTGGACTCGGGTCAGAGCGAGAGAAGTTGGGGGGTTTTGCAATAAACCCCCTAAAACTTTGGAGAGGTTTTCTTAGAAAAGAAATTCCCGCGGTGGGTTTGGAAATTTCTCGGAAATAAAACATAGAAGAAGAGAATGTGTTCTCGTGATCAGTTTTGAACGTCTTCAAGGTTAAAATTCGATCTAGAAGGATATCTATTCGGTGTCAAAACTATCGCTTTGTTATTGTAGCTCTAATGTTAAAGCTACGATTAATTGTTAGGCTTGAGATGTTGAGGATGACAAGTTTTAGCTGGGATTATTTGTGAGATAAACGCACTATTTTCATGATCAAATGTTGCTGCCCTCCAAACCTTGAGGGGCTGTTTGGCAACTTGACAGTAAATTGAAAATGTGTTTTTTTTTTTTTTGCAAATAACTTTCACATCCATGTTCAGAATGCAAGAAATATACAAAGTTTGCTTGAAAAAGGAAATTATTGTTAAAAAAATGCAGTGTCAAGATGATATGTCAAGATAGTATTAGTTAATAAATATAGGTACAATTAATTTCTTATTCTCTGAAAGTAAAGAGTCAGATAAAAAAACATTTTCAATAAGAAGGTTTACTGCAAAAATAAATTGGAGTTAAAGTAATTTAAAAACAATGAACACCTGGGGGGGCTATTTGTAATTAACAATTTGTTCGAATAATGGAATAAAAATCTTATCCGAGCATTGATGTGTGCTAGTGTTAGAGACCATACGGTAGACATTTAAAATTTGTCTCCGAGTTCTGATCCTATCAAAACCTCCGGCACGGTGCGGGAGGTTCTGGACCAGGCAAAGTGCAAAATAGGGACAGTATGTGTTGTGCGCGGCGGAAGCGGTCGAATCACACACAAGCCAAACAAGAGAGATCACAACCAAAATACACAAGCACAATCACCAAATAACACAAGAAATTTACGTGGTTCGGCAATTGCCTACGTCTACGGGGAGAGGATGAGGAGATTCCACTAAATCAAGGAGAGTACAAATGATTATAATCTCACAAAACTCACAAACTAACCATCAACCAAAGCTCTCAACTTGCTCACAATATCTCCCTCTCTTAATGCTCAAAAGTCTCTCTAACCTCTGATTACAACTCTCATCTCTTTTTATGATTGATTCTAATCTCCATATATATAGAAAAACTAAAACCAAAACAGACTAGGAATTCTAAAACCAAAAAGCAAAACAAATTAGGAATCCTAATAACCTCATGTTACCAAAATAGATTAGGAATCCTAATAACCTCATGTTACCAAAATAGATTAGGAATACTGCTATCCAACAATATGGTCATGTCACTTACCCTATTTGTGGTTCACAAAACCCTGCACGGTGTGGGGGTTCTCATAGGATCTTTACTGTAAATCTCCAAATCAACAAAAGGATTCTTTTTGTGAATGGCAGAGAGCACCACGTTTGTTTGTGGAGCGACATTCCAGTGTGAAAGATTCTTATAGAAATAAAAAGCTAAAACTAAAAATTAACAAATAAAATAAGATGAAAAAGGAAACAAGAGACCTTTGTTAAATTGAAATCACAGCAACATACACACTCGTGGTTACAAATTTCGTATATCAGCATTCAGTGTCTGCCGCGTTTGCTCTCAAGATGCCTTGCTAAACTCGAGTTCCTTCGAATTTTCCCCCTCAACTGCAGGAGCAGCAGAAGCCACTTTGCTCTCTGCGTCCTCAACAGCCGTCGCCGGAGAACCATCTTTGACGGCGAGAAACACCAGCAGGGCGAGCAACGGGTAGCTGGCGGTGGTGAGGACCCAGTTGATGATGAGCTGGGTCATCAGCGGAGTCTTTCGCGTGTCTATCTGCCAGGCGACGGCCGCTCCCGCGCTCTGTACTCCCTTGTAGAATCCACTGTACCTGGACCCAAGTGAAAAAACGCAGAACAAGACGTGGGTCTGGCGATAATTTTGTCGATCGAGTAGATAGAAGTTTAATTAATCCTGTCGCTATTGCTTGAATGGTTTGATGTAATGTGTATGATGTTAAACCTTTTACTCTCTTCTTATTTGTCTTTCAACAGAATCCAATCATTTGTGAGTTTGGATTTTGCTAAACTCCAGGATAGCAGATTAATGTAGAATACACAGCGGACAGGTTTACGTCGAAGTGGGACGGTCGCAAGCCTAAACGCGGGCCCGGTCGAGGAAAATAACTTGTCGCGACAAACACGTCATAAATTTCAAACCGTAAGTCCGACTTAGACGAATTATATATGAAAATCGCATATTTTTTCGAGACGGGACCGACCAAACCCACTGAAGGTCGGTTTGCCGCCGTCCGTTTCGCCAAATTCCCTCCGGTTTAAGAGATATCAGCGTTTTTATCAGTTTTTTACTATTTTTAGTAATGTTTTAAGAGTATGTTTTGATTAGGAAACAAATCCGGTTTGATCTCAGATTCGACCGATTGACTTTCCTAATCTTAAGGAGTCTTTTTAGGAAGAGTTTTATTATTTTTATTTTTAGTAAAGTTTGAGTCATGGTAGGAGTCTTGTATCTTTTCTATTTAAGCAGGTTTTGTAAGTCCTAGAAGCATAACTTTTTATCAATAAAATTTCTCTTTTAATATTTTCTTCGTGTATTCGAAGTTCTTCGTGGATTCGTAGATCGTTCTTTGTATCAATAAAATTTCTCTTTCAATATTTAAGCAGGTTTTACTTCCGCCGCTGCGTCACAAAATTTAAAAAGACATGTAAAGGTATCAAAGAGAAAGAAAAGAAGAATAGTACCTGCTGAGAATCTGAGAATCATCAGCCAGAGCTCCGATCACCCAGTAAATCAAGCTCTGAAACATGGCATCGAGCAGCCCGTACCCAAAATACAGCACAAAAGGCCCAGCAAACATCCTCCCATCCTTGAAGTCGATCTCACCATAAGGCCAATCCCCGTGCTTAAACCTCAACTGGTTCGCCAAGCCCCCGGCCCAAATCCCGCTGCTCATCAGGGCGACCACGACGATCCCGACGAACCCCCTCCTTCTCCTGCTCTCCACGCTGAAATCCAGCAGATACCCGATCCCCATCGAGCCCACCATCTGAGCCCCCCAGTAGAACACATTGTTGAGCCCCTTGGTCCTCACGTTGAACAGCAAGCCGTTGACGTTGTTGAACTGGTAAGTGTAGAAGAAGTTGCTGGCCCAGGCTGCGGGGAGGAGGAGGAGCATTTTCCAATTGGAGAAGAGTTTGAGGATCTCGGAGGATTCGGTGGCGACGTTGGAGTATTTGACGGTGGTGGCCGGGGGGAGGATGGCGAGGGAGAGGAGGGCGCCGGTGAACATGAAACACATGAAGGCGATGTAGGTGCCGTCGTTGACGGAGGCCGCGGTTGTTCTGTCGTCAACGGAGCAGACGGATTAGATATAATACTCAGCGTATCCGTATCTGCTTATTGATTATGAATATGTACACAGACACGGGCATTGTTTTGATAAGGAAAACTCATAGCCCATATTCGTTAAAATTGAATATGTTGAAAAACACATATATGATGTGATGGGATACACGTCATAAGTTCGTCAAAATTGAATAGAAATCCCATCACAACATCAAAATTTCACACGGAGAGTGTTTTGACACCAAATATGGTGTTACAAGCGATTGTTCAGATAGAATTTGCACCTATCGAAAAATTGACCCTTCAATCTAATTAGAGTTATTCGCGCTTTGGTAATTTAAAATTTACATTTTTTTTGTTTACCTGGATGCATGCCTCAAATTCAAGTTTGACAATCTAAAGTTTACACATTTTTACTTTCAAGAAAATTCAGCGTGTCAAAGTTTAAAATTTTGTAGACTCCAGCGTCAAAGTAAGTTTCATAAATAATTTCGAAACGGACTCGCTTATAGGGATGGTTCTGATAGGATCCCTATCGGGCGATACCACCTGTCGGTAGTTTCAGGACGAACGGAATCAGCGCCGCGAATGACCCCGCCCATATTGAAAATACTCCAAACAACGAAATATACGTCCCTTCCTCTTCGCCCTGCGCGGTAACGACCGTCATGGCATCGCCCCTGCGCCGCCCACACACCCCGCGCCGACCCCCAGCAGGAGCCTCCGCGACGATTGGCGAAGAAGCTGCTGCAGGTGGTGCGTTGTAGACAGCAAACCGACGCGGCGTACGAGGACGTAGGTGACGGCAGCTCGGGAGGCGAGCGCTGAGCCGGGCGAGGCATAGGTTTGTAGATGCCGCCGCCCGCCAGGACGCCGACAGACGGGCGAACGTTCAGTGTAGCAGGCACAAGGTGTCTGGCGTCTTTGGCGGCAGGTGTGGTCGACTGGCACGCCGCCCCATGCCGAGAGAGGCCGTTGAACATCGCCCGCTGCGCAGCAGAAGCAGACGGCGCCGATGAGGCATGATTTGCGACCAGCGGGCCGAGTTGATACGCGGCTACGCGGGGATGGGGTAATTGCGGCCTGCTCTGCGACTCGGACTTCCAATATGGCGTTTTGGCGCTTTGCGGCTCTTGGATTGTACGGCGCTTCAATATGCGAGGGAGGACGGTTGTTTTGTTGCGTCGTCGATTTTGGGGTCGGAGGGAAAACTCAGATTTGAGGGCACCGGGCACAGGGGTGAGCATGAGGCTGAACCGGCGAACTGGATAGTTGCAGGTGTCGGGTTGTATTAAATACCTTACGGAGACGAAGAGAGAATGACTTTAGTTTGGGGGGCTATTTTTATTTTGATTCGGCTTTTTTTAATGGAAAATGTTGGTTTTTATTTATATTTATTTATTTATTTATTTATCTATTTTTTTGGGGTTGGACCGGTGGAGGATAGAGAGAGAATTGGTGAGATGCCAGATTTATGTGAATCTCGCAGATTCTTGAAATGTTAAATAATAATTGCGCCCATCATCCCCGCGCAAAGTGCGCGGTAGGGGACTCAGGAGAAGCGGATCCGGCCGTCGTGAATCTTTATTCTGGAGCGGTTAAGAGCATCTCCAACAGCTTCCTCATTTTTTCCTTTTGGAGAATTTAGTTAGGTTTTTGGTCCAACAGATTCCCCATCTCATTCCTCAAAATAGGGATGGAGGAGAAAAAATGGGGAAGCTTCCCCAAATCTGCAGCATTCTCCAAATTTTTGGAGGAAAAAAATGATTCTTGAAAATGAGGAAGCTGTTGGAGTTGGTGTAAAAATTAGTTAGAAAATATGACTTTTGCTTTCCTATTTTGGAGAAAATTTTGGAGAAGCTGTTAGAGATGCTCTAAATAGCACTTAAGTATCTTATAGTTTACTAACCTTTGTGCTTATATACCCTTCTTTCCCCAGCGTTTATATATCATGTTGTTTCGCTCTCTATAATTTTATTAAGGGTGGTGTTACATGGACCCAAAAATATGAGACTCTATATGGGACATGTGAGGTGTCGGCTCTCTGTCCCATGATGCACTGTTCATAAACAGTGCATCATGGGGCAGGGAGCCGACACCTCACATGTAGGGTCCCATGTTTTTGGATCCCTATATATAGCACCACCCTTAATGCCCTTTTTTTTGCTGAGTGGACGAAAACACCCCTCGTAGATGGTTTTTTCTTTTCTTTTCGTGTGGTGTTTTAGTTTGGCAATTAACGCGACGCCGTGTTCAACCACGAAAGTTGCTAACAATAAATTTATCTTGCAGTTTGCAGTTGTAGGCCTGAGAGTTTATTCTACAAGCGGTCTATTCGTTTGGATTTTTAAAAGAGGGTCTATTTTTCACAAACAGAACTACAGGCGGTCTATTTCTAGTTGAGTGATACTAACGATGGCGTCTCTTCGTAATTAACCCTTTTTAGAATCCATAGAACAGCTTGGACTATTCACAATTCTTAATTAATTTTATTTTCCTCGGAAAAATTAAATGCATCATTGTCTAGACAAAACTTTGGCCACTTTGGAGAGTGTCACATACTATAGGACTAATTAATCCATACGAGGACAAATTTTATTTTAATTCATATTTTAAGGTTATTCACCTATGAATTTTGGATTTACTTCCGTTGGCTCGCACGCGTGTAATTGATTCCTCCGGATGCAAATAATGCGTGTATTGGGACGGCAGCCGGCGCTAAGTTTTTGTTTTTTTTCATATTCCGTCATGTCCTTGAATTATAATTGTAAAATTATAACTGCAATTGTATATAACTGATACATTTTAAGCTATAATATGAAAAAAAAAAATCTATTACAAAAAGGGGTTAATTTCACAGAACTTTGAGAGGATGTCTTGCAAACCCCGCCTTAAACTTTGAATTTTCTCACCATACTACATATAATTTGCAAATAGCTAAAATTTTATCGAGAGAGCAAAAATTCATAATTAAAAAGAGGAGGTGTATTTTCCTGTAAATGATAAAATGATAAATGTCAGATTTTAAGATCTTTTTCTCTCAAAAAATTTATTCTCAAATTACATGCATGGCGATTCGGTGAGAAAAGTCCAAAGTTTTAGGGTGATTTTGTGAGACACTTCAAAGTTCAATGGATATGTAGGATAAGCAAAGTTCAAGGGGATAAGTGAAATTAAACCAAAAAAATTTTCTTATTGATTCTTTTGATCAATTGCCCTGGGCTATCTATCCTGCTAAGTTGGCAAAATATCGTTTATTATTTATCTACCATTTCCTATGCCTTGAGAGGGACCACTCTTGACTTTCTAATAAAAAAAATGTCATTTTACTTCTCTCTCTCTCTTCCTCCCTCTCTCTCTCTCTTTGAGGAATTCATTTTTCTTCTAAAAAGGTTTGATTGAAGTGGACACAAGATTTGACGATTGAAGTCCTATGAAAATAGAAACGCCAAATGGAGAACGTGGGCACGCTCTGGTCATGACAATAATATGAAAAGAGAACGATGCAATTCTTTAAGAGGAGGACGCAATGATTCCACGGTCACCCCATGCAATAATAGTCTAATGCTTGGATGCCCACTTGTGTGAGCATCTTTTATCCTGAGTACGAATCTTATCAGAACAAATAACAAATTTTATGTGTGGAATGTTTATAATGATGGACAAATTTTCAAAATCAACCAATTTCGAAATTTAAATAGCAAAACCGACCTCTTTGAAATTTAAATAGCAAAACCGACCTTTTTCTTTTGAAAATGGTCGATTTTGCTGCTGAATAATTTTTAGGACATACACGGGACTGCTAGTCCCGTGTATTTCGTGGCAGTTTCGATTAACACGGGACTAGCAGTCCCGTGCGATCGGTGGTAAAAAGACCTGTGACTTCATCTTTGACCGCACTCCTTTTCACCCAAACCCATTCACCCCTCCTCTTTCACCCGCTCCTCAAACCCAGCGGCTTCCTCCACTGCCGCCGCCGACCAAGCGCCCTCCGACCAAGCGCCCTCCGACCACCGCCTCCGCCGGCCAAGTTCGCTCCGACCACCGCCGGCCAAGTTCGCTCTGACAAGGTAAATGTGGTTTTTTTTTTATTAGCCATGAAATTTCGGATTTGGGAATGGATTTGGGTTGGGATTTGGGAATTATGGTTGAGATTTGGGAATGGATTTAGTTGAGATTTGGGATTAAGGTTGAAATTTGTGAATGTATTTGAGATTAGGGTTTAGACATGATTAGGGTTTAGACATGAATAATGTGATTTGAGATTAGGGTTTAACCATAATTAGGGTTTAGACATGAATAATGTGATTTGGGATTAGGGAATTTAGCAATTATTTGCTTTGTAGTTGAGATTAGGGTTTTAAATTTGACTTTAAATTAAGATTAATATTTACAGTTATAATAGATTATTTACATATGATGGACTGTTGATTTTCAGCTTCGATTGCAAACTCTATACCCATTATTTGCTTCTTCAATGGGAGCATCGGCGTCGGATTGAATAGTATGCCGATGTATGAGGGAGGTTCTAGGAAAATGTTTATGCCATCCAAGTCATTAAATTTTGATGGAACGATGAATGAAATACACAGAGTTACGAAAATTAATAAAGCATGGTATGCAATTAAAGTGTTCTTCAATTGTCCGATAAATGAGAGTAGAACTATTGCTGTGGCGATTACCGATGATGAGGAATTGAATGACATGAAACAATTAGTGGAGAAGCAAGTGTCAGTTGAGTTGTTCATTGAGAAGTATCCGATTCAAGAATTTGCCCAAGCTTCACGACCACAAGGAGAGTTTTCTCGGATGATGGACTTAGACAATGAGTCGAGTGGTTTTATGACATCTCCAAGTCAAGAGCCGTGGTGTCAACTACAACATTTAAGTGGGCATTCTCTTGGTGGGATGTCAAGTACTATATTTAACGACGCATCGGGCTATGTTACAGGTGATCTACCGGCCAGATCAATTGTAGAAGAAGAAGTAAATGATGACTCAGAAGATACTGAAGAAGAAGACGTGCAAATTGATAGCATGCATGTGGCAGTTGGAATCGATTATGATTCTCGTTGGATGGATCAATTTAATGTTACCAATGATTATGTGGAAGCTGAAGATCCGTTGCTCGACGAGTTTCATAATGAAGATTGGATAAATACTTCGCAAGCTGAATTTGTTGATGTTGGTCCAAACTTTCAACGGAATGAGGACTTCACTTTTAAAAAAGGGGACCTATTCGAGAGCAAGGAAGCATTGATCTTTGCGGTGCGAGAATGGTCTATTAAAAATCGGGTCAAATTCAAGCCTGTAAAAACTAATGCAACCAACTACTATGTAAAATGTTATTTCAACGAGAAGAATGAAGTAGAGCATGCAAATGAGCAAGATGAGAGAAACAGGAAATGTCCTTGGTTGCTAAATGCCGCTGTGAGGAAATCAACAAATGGGCAATTTGTAATATCTAGATATTGCGGGCTTCATACATGTTGCAATCCGTCGGTGGACGTCGATCATTATTCTGCATCTTCCTCTTATATATGTAAGCTAATTATGCCTGAAGTTAGAGCTGAACTTGATCTAAATGCAAGTCAGATATTTCAAAGGGTATATGATATGCGGGGCATTAAGATATCTAAATATAAGGCATATGATGCAAGGAGGAAAGCGTTGTCGAAAATATTTGGAGATTGGGAAAAATCTTATGAATTACTTCCACAGTATCTTGAAGCTATCAAGCGAAATAATCCGGGTACTGAATATGAAATATTGTCTGAAGAGATTGCACCGGGGATGGAGAGGTTCACTCGAGTATTTTGGGCATTTGGTCCGGCTATTAAGGGCTTCACTTTTTGTCGTCCGTTATTGAGCATTGACGGTACACATCTATATGGCAAGTACAAAGGCGTGCTTCTTGTGGCGACCGGTGTAGATGCAAATGGCGGTTTATTTCCTCTAGCATTTGCAGTTGTGGAGGTAGAGGATACTTCTAGTTGGAAGTGGTTCTTTGAACTTATATACAAGTGGATTCCTAGTGTCCGTGCGTGTTTGTGGGAAAATTTGCAATAAGAAAATGAATGAAAGAATTATATTTGATTTTATTCTCTCTAACTGCTTAGAAAAAGAATGTTTACAAGTCTCTCAACTCTCAATTACAATTGGATTTCCTGATTACAAAAGAGAAGAGAATGATCTAGATTCTCCCCTTTGTTAAAAACTGGGTTCTTCACGGTGGCGATGAGATGCCTCCCTCGAATGCTCGCGTCGAGTTTGCTTCTCGTTGATGATCCGAAAATTTCAATTCACTGGAACGACTGACTTGTCTGGTTGATAACTCTTGATGAGTATTGTGACTCAGAACGAGTAACAAACTCTAATATGACAAGAGTTGTTTGAACCGAAAATAATCCGGTTAATAAGCCAAGTATTGAGTATCTGGAATCTTCAGCTGATGATGATTCCCCAGACTGTGTAAGGAGCTGATCCTTCAAATCTCACTCTCTGAATCCGATCTCCAAAAGTCCAACCCCGAACTCTGTTGAGTTTGCTGATATTTATAGGGAGATTAGGGGTGTAACTGCCCCCGTAATCTGCTCCTAAATAAGGGTTTAGTTGCCTCATTAATCGGTTGTAACAACCCACGTAAACCACTCCTCGAAACTGCATGGATCGTGTTTGAACAGGTCAGAACTTTGACATGCGTTCTGGCATAGATTCTGCGCTTGAACGCAGCATCTGGAAGTGTGTTCTGCAGCGATATGGAGCTGCGTTCTTCGATGTTTGAATGTGCGTTTCACAGTGTTATGGAACTGCGTCTGGTGGTGATTAAAGCTGCGTTGGGCAGCGGATTGAGCTGCGTTGGGCAGCGATTAGAGCTGCGTTGGGCAACGATTGGAGCTGTGTTGGGCAGCAGATTGAGCTGCATTGGGCAGCGATTGGAGTTACGTTGGGCAGCGATTAAAGCTGTGTTGGGCAGCGATTAAAGCTGTGTTGGGTAGCGGATTGAACTACGTTGGGCAGCGATTGGAGCTGCGTTGGGCAGCGGATTGAGCTGCATTTGGCAGCGGTTTGAGCTGCGTTTGGCAGCGGTTTGAGCTGTGTTTTGGCAGCGGTTGGAGTTGGGCAGCGGATTAAGCTGCATTGGGCAGCGATTGGAGCTGCGTTGGGCAGCAGATTGAGCTGCGTTGGGCAGCGGATTGAGCTGCGTTGGGCAGCGATTGGAGCTGCGTTGGGCAGCGGATTGAGTTGCGTTTGGCAGCGGTTTGAGCTGCGTTTGGCAGCGGTTTGGAGCTGTGTTTGGCAGGGATTGGAGCTGTATTGGGCAGCGATTGGAGCTGCGTTGGGCAGCGATTGAACTGCGAACAGTGAAGTTGTGGCTGCCTTTTCTGTCTTTATATATGGATGACACTAATGACCATTCGAGAAGGTCCTATTCAGGCCATTTGTGACAATTGAGGCATCTCAATGACGCTCTATCTCTTTGCATAGCTTTGTACTTCTCAGCATGTCGAATATTTGCCCACTGTTCTCTAGATCGTCTTGCTTTTCTAAAATCATTACACTGCTCATCAGCATCTCTAATAGTTGCTAATATAATATTAGTCATGTTGTTATCGTGGCCATCAAGATCAATCCTCTCAAACATGGGACTGTGTTGATTACTGAGGATGCAATGATTGCGGTGCTTCGACTTTTGGAGCGTAGCCACTTGTGTTTTGACTGTAGGGATGAATCCTACCTCTCGATTTCTTCATGGTCCGTAGGGGCGTCTCTCGATTGTAGCTTTTTGTTGGTAATAAGAAAGTCGTCTGATTGTAACTTTTTTTGTTATACCCTGATGGGGATCAACTATCCATTGTGATTTTTAGACAGCCTACAGTGCGCCCAGATTAATTACTTTTATCTCGGATAGGATGAAAGGAATTATAAGGGCATTACATGAGGGTTTTGGTGCACCACATCACCATCGATATTGTTTGAGGCATATAAGAGATAATTTTAAGAAAAAACACGGTGAGATTAATTTGCAAAATCTTTTGTGGCAAGCTGGGTGTGCAACCGATACATTAGTGTATGAACATTGTAGAGAGAAGATCAAGTCTTTGTCATTAGATGCACATAATTGGATTGAACATAACTTGAAGCCTCAATTCGAGCATCGATGGGCATTATGTAAGGATGAGGGTGTGCGGTTTTGCATGATGACAACTAATTGCTCCGAGAGCTTTAACGGCGTTCTTAAAGGAGCACGAGCTATGCCAATACAATCATTGGTTGCAAGAACGTTCTATAGGCTAAACTCATACTTCAACAAAAGGCGTGAGGACGGTGTAGACTGGACAACGCGTTACACACCAAAGAATGAGTCTATTTTGCATAGAAGAATTGAGGCGGCAAAATTATGTCAAATTACTGTATTCAATGACAATGAATGGCATGTACAGGATTATGACAGTATCTACACCGTTAAACTGTTTGATGTTGATTGTACTTGCACATGTAACATACCACAACTTCAAAAAATACCTTGTGCACATGTTCTTGCGGCTTCCTCCAATCATCCGGGTGGTGCGAGAATTCCATATAATCGGTATTATTCACCATGGTATTCAACAATTCATTACCGAAAGACATACAGTGAGAGTTTTCATCCACCCGATGATAGTCGGTATTGGCCCGAATATACTGGACCACGACTAATTCCACCTCAATACAAGAGACAAGCAGGTCGACCACGATCTGTACGAATTAGGGGAACCATGGATCAAGGACGAGAAGGAATTGTCAAGCATAAAAAATGTAGTCTTTGCAAACAACCGGGACATACTCGACCTCGTTGTCCAGCTAGACTCAATAGATAACAATTAATTGGTAACAATTGACATATTCAAATTGTGATTTATTTTAATGTAGACAATATAATTAGTCGTGGATCAGTTATTGATATGTTATAATTGTATGTGCATGTATATACACCATGGAGCCTGGACCGAGTAGTGATGAGGTCCTATATGACCAACCTTGACACCGTTCACATGTTATATCATTTACAGAGGTAACTAAGTTTCTTATAATTTCAATATTGCATTCTTATAATATTGTATTCTTATATATTCATTTGCTTTACAGAGAGGCCCGGATATTGTTATGGTTGATCATAGCCTTAGCCATAGCCGTTGGCATATAGAGGATGAGCGCATAATAGCAGCTATAGGACGGGCCGGCTTCTTGACATGTTCAAAGCTTCGTTGGATGAGGCTCGATTGGCCCCTACTCACCGCTTTGATAGATAGGTGGAGGCCGGAGATCAACACTTTTCACTTCCGAATGGGAGAGTCTACTATTACGCTACAGGATGTAGCTATGATACTTGGTCTCCGCATAGATGGTCCGTGCGTTACCGGCAGTGATAAACATTTTTGGCCGAGAAAGTGTGAGGAGTTGTAAGGTGTAGCTCCAAAGTCAATGCCTGGAGGAAATATTAAATTGAAGTGGCTAAAAGATACCTTCTCGGTGCTGTTGCCTTTTGATGCGCCGCCAATATTGATTGAGCAACATGCACGTGCATACATTATGCACATGATCGGTTCAATATTATTTCCAGATTCGAGTAAAGATAAAGTGCATGCCAGGTATCATTTTTATCAGTATTTACAATTATGTCTGTTGATTTAGCTTATTTTGATAACTTGAAATGTTGTGAAAATGCTAGGTGGTTACCACTTATCGGGGACTTGGACACGTGTGGTGCGTTATCGTGGGGTAGTGCGGTTTTGGCGTACCTATATAGAGAGATGTCTAAGGTTGCATTCATGAAAAATAGTGACCTCAAAGGGTGTCTCAGCTTACTGCAAGTATGGGCATGGGAGAGGCTGCATTTGAAGCCGAGACTATGCGTGAATTTACAATTAGACGGACAAATTCCACTAGGATGCAGGTATTATATTTTTTAACGTAGTAAATATAATTGTAGTTATTCATTTGGTACTGAATTTTGAAACTAACACAGATGGAATGTCCAAAAATGTTTTGACGAGACCCCGGCGAGACAGTTAGATTTCTACCGAAATGAGCTTGACCGCATGAAGATTTTTCAGGTATCATTTCTATAAAAACGAGTTTTTTCTTCTATATATCAACTTTTGTTTTAATGATATGCAACAATTATATGTAATACTCTGTAGATGGAATGGGAGCCCTACACCCCATTTCTCGATCATCTACCCCCGATATGCACAGAATACCCAGTTATATGGAGAGCCAGAGTTCCTCTAATATGTTTTGAGATAGTAGAAATGCATGTACCGGACCGCGTGCTTCGACAATTTGGTCTTGCATAATATGTTCCGCAATTTGTTGAAAAAATAGAGAGGAAGGCGAAGAAAGGAGGCCATCAAAAGGACTGGGCAGCTGAGCATCAAAATTATATACACAGATGGAATGATAGACATTTTTGTATTGTTGAGAAAATCGAGCCAACTCCCCAGGAATCAGATTACTACACTTGGTATTGGAGGATAACTAGAAGATGGATACTCCATGCGACCACATCCCCGGTTGAGTTGCAAAGAGGATATGTGTAACGCCCCGCCCCGGAATCCCGAAGTCGGTACACTATTAGATCTGATGGACTGGCCTCACAAACCACCACATGTCTTTTCAGCACATTTTGTCCTCACTCACGCGCTCCCTGGAAAACTTCCCAGGGGGTCACCCATCCTAGAATTTCTCCAGGCCAAGCACGCTTAACTTTGGAGTTTCTAAGAGTTGGGTTCCCGAAAAGAAGATGCATCTTGGTGGTATGAGTATTCCAATCAAATCTATCAATACTAATCACATCACCCCACTTAAACTCACAACGTCCTCGTTGTGCCAAACCATATCATCCAAGATCGTACCATCCGTGTGAGATTCTAGAGGTGTCTCCTACGGCCTCAATAGGTGGCTCCCGCCCTCTTGACGTAGCACTTTGCGCCGCATAGCACTTAGCTCTCACAATTCTGATTGGTTTGGCTCTGATACCATTTGTAACGCCCCGCCCCAGAATCCCGGAGTCGGTACGCTATTAGATCTGATAGACTGACCTCACAAACCACCATATGTCTTTTCAGCACGTTTTGTCCTCACTCACGCGCTCCCTGAAAAACTTCCCAGTGGGTCACCCATCCTAGAATTTCTCCAGGCCAAGCACGCTTAACTTTGGAGTTTCTAAGAGTTGGGTTCCCGAAAAGAAGATGCATCTTGGTGGTATGAGTATTCCAATCAAATCTATCAATACTAATCACATCACCCTCTCAAGGGTTGGGGTATTACAATATGTGCCTCGGGGTATAGATGCGAGAGAATTAGTAAGTATTTTCAAATTTATTTATTTTTATTAGTATTTTTCAATATTGCTAAATTATGTTTTTTTTAAAATTTGTAGGTATCAACAATAGATGATGTTCAAACCATTGTAAATCGTGGCCTGGAATTGGCTCGAGCAGGTAATATAGAATTAAATATAAAATTTACATATTATAATTTGAATTTTACAGTAATTTTTGCATTTCGGATTTTTTTGAATTATCTCTCGCAGGTACATATCCCGAAGCACAGAATCATGCATCAATATATCAGTCGAAAATGCAGAGGCTTCACCAAGCCTTACATCGAACTCATGAAGACCTTCATGATGGACTAGAGGTAGCGCAATTAGTATACACACGTCAACCACGACAAAGTCGAGGACGACGCAGAAACGACAATGAAGCTGGGCATTCCCAACGTGTTGACGACGGAGCTGGACCGTCACAACCACAAACGCAACCGGATTATGAACTCATCGAAGGTCGGGATGGAGGAAGCCGAAGACAAAGGAGGAGGAGAAGAGTTCTTGGATGTATATAAGCTAATCGGTATTGTTATATAAATTACAATCCTATTTTGATATGTACATTACAAACGTATTTCAGGACAATAGATGGTTTTTGGATTTGTAGCGGAGACTGTGGTGTGACTTATTAGATTTGTAAGTGGGTTTGTGGCATGATTTGTTGGATTTGGATTCGTAAGTTTGTGGTGTATTTTATGATTTTCAGATTTGATATATGTGTTTATACAGGGAATTAACATATGAGTTTGTGACGGGAATTGATATATGTGCTTATGCAATGGTGTAATTTATGATTGTTGCATTTGAAATGAGTTTGTACGGGGAATTTTCCCGCAGCAGATGGTGTAATTTATGATTGTTGCATTTGAAATGAGTTTGTACGGGGAATTTTCCCGCAGCAGAAATACATATTTCTGCACATTATGTGCAAATGAGTTTGTACGGGGAATTTTCCCGCAGCAGAAATACATATTTCTGCACATTATGTGCAGGAAATACATGAGACTGCTAGTCCCGTGTATTTCATTGTGCCCAGGAAGTGCACGGGACTAGCAGTCCCGTGCACTTAGTTCGTTGCTCAATGTAAAATGCACGGGACTGCTAGTCCCGTGCATTTCATTGTGTACTTGGTTCGTTGCTCTCTATAAAATGCACGGGACTGCTAGTCCCGTGCATTTCATTGTGTATTTTGAAATACACGGGGCTAGCAGTCCCGTGTATGTCGTAAAAAATTTCATGCAGCAAAACCGATCCTTTTCAGAAGAAAATGGTCGGTTTTGCTGAATAAAATGAGATAAGGTCGATTTTAATATTTAAAATGCTAAAAAGGTTGATTTTGAAAATTTGTCCTTTGAGAATTGTTGTCCAATATATATCTCCTAAAAGATCATACTTAAATTTATGCACGTAAAACATTTACCGTTGTATTTGTATTATCATTTACTATTTTGAGTATCCTTGCATTTATTATACAAACATTTTCTCTTAATTTAGTTGAAATGACGGTACCTAGTTATTCATTCAACCCTTTTGTCTTAAATGGATGGATTGCGCTCATACATGATTAGCGTTTCGTGCTTAGAAATTAAATAACCTCATGAACAAGTAGCATGTTAATAGCATAATCTTATGAGAAATTAATTTTGGACCCAAAATTATGAGCACGTAACATGTCTATATGGACACCGAGAATTTTGATTCGAGTCTCAAGAAAATGGCTCGTATCACTTTATCTCGTGATTGCTCTCGTGAATTTTAGGTCCATGAAAAGATACACTAACCTTATACATTTCTAGTGTTATATAATATATACGTACATTTTTTGATTAGTCTCAAGAAAATGGCTCGTATCACTTTATCTCATGATTGCTAGT